GTTGTAACAGCCACTAGACCTTCCGGAATAACAGAGACGGCCAAACTAATCAAAAGTAACAATTATATTATATATAACTTTCTTGAATATGTTTGTCATATATTTTTTTTAGCCTTATATTTTGATCGTGATGTGACTCGAGTATTGAAAATGTTTCGCACATCATTAACTGATGGCTTACCCGCAACCGAAATACCAGTACTATTGAAACACTATGGATCTAATCAACTACCTAAACCTCCAAAAACCTCCATCCTTAATATGATACTTAATCAATTAAAAGATTTTATGGTATTAATATTGATAGCTGCGGCAATTGTTACTGCGGCATTAAGTGACTTTAAGGATATGGGTGTACTGTTATTTGTTATCGTTCTTAATACCATAATCGGATTTACACAAGAATACAAAGCAACAAAAGCTTTAGAGGCTTTACAAAAACTATCTGTTCCAAAAGTACGAATTCCACCATTTGTTATGTAAAAAAAAAAAAATTAAGGTTTTTTGATTTCGTATCCTAATTTTTTTACTATATATTTAATAATAAAGGCTCAAGTAGTGCGTGATGGTCAACAAATGATTATTGATTCCTCACAACTTGTTCCGGGTGATATAGTTATTCTTGAAGAAGGTGATGCAGTTCCTGCTGATGTGCGTATTGTAGAATGTTCACATTTAGAAGTTATCGAATCAATCTTGACTGGTGAAAGTCTTCCGGTCAGCAAAAATACTAAAAAAATTTGGACAGCGGTATGCATTTAGAGTGAAAAACAAAAAACTCAATAAATTTTTTAATATCTACAAAAATTCAATTTATAACTTGAAATTATTATTAAATATAATAGACAAGGAATCATCCATTAGGTGAATGCAAAGGAAATGCATTCATGTCAACTACAATTGCCAGAGGTCGTGGTAAAGGAGTTGTAGTTAGAACTGGGAGTGACACTGAGGTAAATAAAAAAAACTATAAAACAAGAGTTAAAATAAAAATGTAAAAAAAAACATTAATCATATATTTCATATGTTATTTAACAGATTGGGAAAATTAGTGCTGCTATAACTTCAGTTAAACAAGTCAAAACCCCAATTCAACGTAAATTGTCAAAATTAGGGAAATGGCTGGTTTTACTTGCTTTTGTTTTGTGCATTCTTGTTGTGATAATAGGAATTGCATATAGACATAATGCAATAACAATGGTTTTTATTGGTCTAAGGTAACGTACATAATTTGTATATTATTTTTAATGTTGTATTATTGTTATAATCGTTTATATATAATATAATTGTTACTTTTGATTAGTTTGGCCGTCTCTGTTATTCCGGAAGGTCTAGTGGCTGTTACAAC